ACCCAGAAGTGGTAGAGATGTGGAGTTCAAGGGAGAGTTATTCTAATGCACTTGCGTACTGATTCGATTAATAAAGGACATGCAGTGAAGTCATAATCCTATCCCTATTCTTAGTAAGTGCAAGCAGATACTGATTGGTCACATTCAATGTTGTCTGTAAACAGTATGTTAATAAATCTCTTATAGACTAGACAGGAGATCAACAATAGTCACTTCTGAACTCCTCACTGTTTTGCCTCTTGTTTGGGGGACATCAGAGGGCTGGTCTATGATCGAAACATCTCCAGATGTCCTCAGGGTCAGCTGCCAGCCAGTCTGCAGTCATGACAGCAGCTTTGTAGAATGACCCCAACTGATCTGAGTGTTTTGGATTCACCTAGAGAAAAGGTATTATGTATAATTGTAGTTACTAAAATTATTTTCATAATAATATTATCTAATATTATTTATCATTTATCACATTGCAAGTACTCCTTAATACTATATGCATACAAACTTTGATGTTCAAAATCAGACAACCAAATAGGGTAGGTATTGCCACCATGTTGCTGATGAAGAAACTGAGGCACAGAGAAATTAAGTTATTTGCCTATGAAAGGTCACACGGGAAACAGATGGTAAAGCCTGAACCAAATCCAGGCAATCTGTCTCCCCAGCCCATGCTTTGCAGTTTCCTCTCACAATGCTGTGGTATCTCCTGAAATTTTAGTGCTGCTTGGAGCCAAGTACCACACCCTGTATTTTTTAAGACTTCTCTCAATTCAGAAGTCTCCAGGAAAGGTCCCTGGAGAGGTAGACAACCTGGTTCCCATTTTTACTATTGGATAAGAAACTGTTAGAACGAAATCAGCACCACACACACCACTGGGGATGTGCTAGAGAATTCTGAGTGTACCTGTGTAAAGACTTTGAATAGCTATTTATAAATTGTGAGAGATAGATATTATGCTAATACACATGCAAGCTAAATAAAATAATTAGTATAATTGTCTTAGTTATTAACTATGAGAAATATCAGAAATACATAATATTATAATAACATATCTAGCCTTGATTCAGTACAGGAAGTTGTTATTGCATTCATTTATTGGTTTATTCAGCAACAAATATTTGCTAAGAACTAATATGGCTTAGGCACTGATCACAAATAATGCACAAACATAAATCTCTGCCCTTGTATAGCTTACATTCTAGTTGGGAGAAAGAAATCACACAAAAAAATTTTTTTAAAATAAGTGATCTGCTATATTATTAATATTATATGGTACTTTATACATTATAGTAAAAAGTATGTTAAAGTATGTTAACTGTATTATATAACTATAGATTATAGTGTACTATAATATTATATTATTAATACTACTTACAGAAGGAGATCACATGGAAAAATAAAGCATTGTAAGAGAGGAGATGATAATAGAGAGGAGTAAAATTTCAAAATTTTTAAATTTAAAATTATTATAAGTAAAGTTGAACTTTCTGTTTCACAAAAAATAAATACATACATAGGTAATGGCTTTCAGTTTTATTCTCTGGGGATAATCTATTTAACTTTCCAATTTTTAATTTATTCTAATTAGTTACACATTCAGTAGAATGCATTTTTACATATCATACATAAATGGAGTATGACTTCTCATTCTTCTGATTGTACATGATGTAGAGTTACACAGGTTGTGTAATCATATATGCATATATAGTAATAAAGTCCAATTCATTCTACTATCATTCCAACCCCCAAACCCTGTCCCCTCCCTTCACTCCTCTCTGTCTAATCTGAAGTGCCTCTATTCTCCATTCCCTTATTGTGAATTAGCATTCACATATCAGAGAAATCATTCAGCCTTTGGCTATTTGGGATTGGGCTTATTTCGCTTAGCATAATATTCTCCAGTTTCATCCATTTACCAGCAAATGCCATAATTGGACTTTTTAAGGCTGAGTAATATTCCATTGTGTATACATATATCACAATTTCTTTATTCATTCTTCTATTGAATGGCATGTAGGTTGGTTCCACAGTTTAGCTATTGTGAATTGAGCTGCTGTAAACACTGATGTGGCTGCATCATTGTAGTGTGCTGATTTTAAGTCCTTTGGGTATATGCCAAGGAGTGGGATAGTTGGGTCAAATGGTGGTTTCATTCCAAGTTTTCTGAGGAATCTCTATAGTGGTTGCATGAATTTGCAGTCCCACCAGTAATGTGGTGGGACTTTTTCCCCACCTCCTTGCCAACATTTATTTTTGTTTGTGTTCTTGATAATTGCCATTCTGACTGGAGTGAGATAAAATCTCAGTGTAGTTTTGATTTGCATTTTTCTAATGGCTAGAGATGTTGAATGTTTTTTCATATATTTGTTGATTGATTGTATTTCTTCTTCTGTGAAGTGTCTGTTCAGATCCTTAGTCTATTTATTGATTGGTTTATTTAATTTTTTGGTTTTATAACTTTCCAGTTTTATTTGTGTTCTGCTGAAGTCAGATAAATCGCATTTAAATGTGAATACATAACAAATAAACTAATTCTTACATAATTAAAGTTAATATTTAAAGAAAACTATTATCAAATCATAATTGTCTGCATGAATATGGCAAAAAAAAAAAGAAAGGGAGAATAGTATTTGGGTGATTAAGTTGGAGAACTGTTCAAATAGGGACCACCAAACTTTTCCTTCCCAGTTGCCTTCAAAGCATCTGTGTTTAAGTTGATAGGAGGCGGAGGAAGACCAGAATCACTTACTCTGTGTTAGCACTTGACACTAAAGGTGAGATGCCCTATCACCAGCCAATGGGGAGGGTCCTGTCACCTCAGCTTGTCTGAGATACACAGTCCTCTGTTTCCCCCTCTGCTTGCCTACAAGACCACCTCAGGGGAGAAAGAAGAAGTTGAAAAGTAGAGCAGACAAAAAGAAGCAAGTTGATTGCAACCCATTATTTATTTTTGGTACTGGGGATTAAGCCCAGGGATGCTTAACCATTGAGCTACATCCCCAGTCCTTTTGTAATATTTTACTTAAAGACAGGGTCTCACTGAGTTGCTTAAGGCCTTGCTAAGTTGCTGAGTCTGGCTCTGAACTTGCAATCCTCCTGCCTCAGCCCCCTGAGCCGCTGGGATTATAGGCATGCGTCACCATGCCTGGCACAAACCATTCTTTTATGTTACACATAAAAGTGTAACATAAAAGAATGTTATGGTGATTGGTGGTGCATGTAGGCAGTGTGTGTGTATTGAGGCTTTGGGAGAAGGCAGAGGCCATGAGCTACACAAAGCAGGATACAGGCTTCCCCTCCAAGAGGACACAGAAGGTATCAAGCGCTGGGGAGGAGTTGCAACCCTTTTCTCACCACCGGGTCACCTTAAGTCACTTTTGTCAGAATAAGTCTTTTCATACTTTTATATTCATTACTTATAAGTGACAAATAATTACAGCCAATATTTGTGGATCACCTACTGTACACTAGACATTGTGCTTTACATACATCTTTGCATTTAATTCACACAACGATCCATGAGGATCTATGATTACTATACAGATAAAGAAACATAGGTTTATAGAAGTTCATTAATTTGCCCTAATACATGCCAGTAGTAAACACTGGCACCAGAAATGACCGACTCTGGAATCTGTATTAATTCCATTTGAACCTGTAAATAACTCCATGAGTTATCAAGAATAAGGAATATTTTTATTCCGAGCAGAAACTGCAGACAAGTGTAGTGATTATGAGAGAGATGGTAGTGTTAAAAGAGCTGGTTTTGATTATGGTTCTGCCATTTATTCGTCATTTAGAGTTGAGAAAATTATCTAAGCCCTCCAATACTTAAAACAGTTTTAACTGTCAAGTTTTAGAGAACATCTCTTGGGGTCTTGATATCTTGGCCATCTTCATCACCATCAGAACTATCACATATTTAGTCTTTTCTCAACTTGATTTTTTTCTCCTACCTGAAATTGTCATGCTCTTCCCTCAAAAGCCTTATATTAAGTGGTGGCTACCACGTACTACTATACTACTAACAGTAATGATAGTAAATATTTATTGTACACTTACTACATGCCAACTGCTTTTAGTGCATTATCTCAATCAATCTTTACAACTACTGCAAAAGATAAACACTAGCGTCATCTATAATTTATACTTAGAAAAACAGCATGCTTAGTACTCAACACTGCTGATTTCACTTGCATTTTTCCTACCTCCCACCCTAACTGCCAGCTGGCTTTGGAACTCCAAACAGGCATCCATGAAAATAGCATGGGATTGCTTGCAGGAAATGGAACACTCCAGGAGTTTGACACTAAAAGGGTTTGGAACTGTCCACCAACTAGTGCTGCTGAGAACCTGGGTTGTTCAAAGGAAATTCAGATTCCTCTATTCCAACTTCCTTTTCCTTAGGGTAGTTCCAATACCAACAGGTCCTCTTCATGGGTGTATGTGGGGAGTGGGGAGAGCTGGTAAAACAGCAAAACCTGAGACCTAGCCTGGAGTCGTGCAAAGGAATCAAACAGACTTGGTTTATTAAAAAGTCCAGTCATTTGCTTTGCTTTTGAACAACCTTGAATGGCATTGTGGGTGGGTGGGTGGGTGGGATGCTATTAAGTATGAACAAATTTGGAGTAAGAATCTGCTATATCTGCTATCACAAGGCATAATTTTCTCCATTTTTTTTTCTGATCGCAGATTTAATCCATTTTATCGGAAAAGTAGAAAATGCAAAAACAGCTAGATTTTCATTAAATTTTAATTATTGTCTTCCCGTGCCTTTTCTCGCTTGCCCCATATCTTCCGAAGACCTGGAGTGCAGGGTAGGGGAGACCCAAGAGCATCTCAGAGGGCAACAGCTCAACTTCACTCCCCTGCAGCCCCTGCAGCTTGCTGCGCCCCTCACCCCTCCCCCTTACCCGGCGCTTACCATTGGTCATTGCCATGACAACCAGCAGCTGCCGGGTCGGCCGCCTCTACCGCAGCAGGGGTGGGGCCTTCGGGGTGGGGGAGGGAGAGGAGGAGCCAGTGGAGGTGTCTGCTGCAAGTTCCTGGCTGCTTCTGAGCTCACCCCATCCTCCAAGAGGGAGGAGGCCTGAGCGGTGATGCTGCGCTGCTGTCGCTGCCGCCTGCCTCTGCTGACATTCTAGTGGGGCTGGAAGGGTGGTTCCTGTTCGCCACATCGCCAACCAGAGAGGAGGAGGAAAAAAAAATCCCAGCAGCCGCTGCTGATGTTGGGTTCGGAGGCTGCATCCGACTCGGTCACAAGGAAAATGGATTCAGTTTGCATCTCTCCCTCCTTTCTACAGCGTCTCCGAGTCTCAGTATGGTGAGTAGGAGACCTAGGGGCTACCTTCTTGGTTCAGCTGGTTATTAAATGACTTGTGTATACATTTGTGGCCTGGATTTGAACAATGACTCCCGTCTCTCAGTCTAGGAGGGGGAGATGTGGAGACAGATGAGGGGAGAGAGAGAGAGGAAGGTTACCAGGGAGAGGAGTGAGAAGGCATCCGCTTGTGTTTAAAAAAAAAAAAAAGAAAAAAAAAAGTGTTGCGATTTTTATCACAAATTGGCTCAGAATACAGACTGAGCCACTTGATTCCTTCCCTCCCAAGCTTAGCAACAAAATCAGGGGGTGGAAAAACCGCTAACAACAGGAAAAGGGTGATGTTGAAAAGAATCGTTTTCATTTGCAGCTCTTATATGTAGGGTTTGGGCCTTCCTCAAAGCCCCATTTGGTGTCTCAACCTTCTAGGCCTAATTATCAGGTGGTTTTGTTTATTTTCTTCATTGCTAAGGTGGCCCCAGAATTTAGCCTTCTATTTCATACTCTAAAGAACTCTTGTTGAGAAACAATTTGATGGATCCGGAGCTTCATTTTTAGTACATAGATTTGATTGTGAACATACAGACATGCACCTTATGGTTATTCATATCAGACATACACATTACTTAGCATTTGTATTGCATTTATGAAGCATATTTATATGTGGAGGATGCTTGCTTTACTATCATTTTTATGGGTTTTGAATGGCCCTGCATGCTTGGAAGTAATTGCATTTTTTTGAAACTATGTTTCTGGTTTGTATTATTATTCATTGGCTTCCTTTGGATTAATGTGAGATTTATTCTTGTTATTGTCCCTTAGTTTCATTGTGACCAATTAAGACAGATGCCTATCATTTGATCTGCATTACAGAACTAGATGTGAATTCATAGAGTGGTTCTTTTCTTTATTTTTAATTGGGTTTGTTGGGAGTGATATTGAGGGCCCTGGATTTACAATGAGGGGAAAGGGAGGTGGCTTGTGGTATTATTTTGCATCCAGCATCTTGCCAAATGAATGTTGGAACAAATCAATTTTCTCAAAATTCCACCCCAGTCTTTGTATGTGTGTACCTTATGTCCCGTGAACATGAAGCACAGCTGAGCTGGAAGGTGAAATGCATTCATTTTATTTAATAGTGCTGCTATTTGCTGTTCATTCCTTCAGTATCCAGGCACCATTTTATAGTTCTCCCAAATATTGTGTTACAGGTCTGCTTCTGTAAGTAATTAAGTAGGAAAGTAGGATTGCTTTTGGAAATTTAAGTATTCCCAAGAACACTGGGATAGCTATTTCCAAATCAGCCAGCTTATACAATGAAATGAAAGAGAGTGAGCAAAGCTTAGCTGGAGAAAGGCTCATGCTACTATGTGCTGAAATAGGAGGGGGGTGTAGTTTATAAATGCTTACTAGGATCTGCTTGACCTTTTATTATGTCAAGGTTTTAAGGCAGTTCAGGAAGACTAAAGATGCCTGATATGAGTAGCATACAGGGCTCCATTACCACCTAGGATAATGGATTTCATTGAACTAAAGCCAGAAAAATCCTTGCAGGTAAAAGTATATTATAATATCGCATTCATCATATATACTGATTTCAGTCATCTGTCTCTTCTCCAACAATATTACTCTGGATATCTTAAAAACATTTTTTGCGATGTAAAATCACATAATTTTTTTTTGCCTTCATCTTTCATTTTATTTTAACACTTCCCCCTCATTTATAATTTTTACATGTGTCAGATTTATTGTTTAATTTTTCTGAGAATAATTTTTCTATTTGGTTTATACATGGGACACATCCTTAGTGAGTTAATTTAACCTGCTCATAGTATGTCATATGTTATATAGATTCACAACTCTGTAAACTCATGCTATTATGTGCCTAATTGTAACAACTATATAAAGTAGGGCAAGAAAGGAGGTACTGGGCTTATATGTCATATCAATTTTTTATAACACTTTGTGTCCTGAATATTTTAATGATAACTTTGACTGCCCAAAATTAAAATTTCTGACATATCTACAATAAACTAAAAAAAAAAAAAGATATGTAGCAATTGGCCCTGTTTCATACAATGAAAGCAGATAGCATAGGGCTTTGTTGTTATTTCCTTTGTGTTGAGTTTCCATTTGGATGTGGTTTTATGGACAAAGTTGGTACAGTTTGAACAGAGGCACATCACCGTCGGCCTTAGGCTTAGTACTCACTGTAAGTAGTCTGTTTCAGCTCTGTTGCCAGGCCCTGTGTCTGAGGAAGGATACAGACACTAGAATTCTTTCATTTGAAGAAGAAAAAACTGAGATATCAGTTTTTTGTTTAATAACAATTATTTGTTTCAAATAAGCTGATGTTTTACATAGGGGTTGTATATTGCTATTTTGGGGAATGTAAAATATGTTCAATGGGCTTCAACTTCATTAAGAAGAATGAAAATTAAAAATATGAAATGTAGAAGTTCCTCTTAGTAAGTGAGAATAGTTACGTGGATAATCAGATAAGGTGGTGCATTCTTCTCTCATTGAAACCTCCAAAAGTATGACCTACATATGCATTTGTCTGGGATGGACTAGTATACTTCTCAAGAATTCCTCTGGCTTTTTCTAGAGTTAATCATCCTTTTACGAATGTGAGTTGTTTACTACCAGGTACTTCTAGATCTACAATAGCTAGACTCCATTTTGTAATTGGCTTCTAAATTACGAAATCTGGATATTTAAAAAAAAAATCAATTGATCATCTGCTTAGAGAAATTTTTATGTAATTCTGCCAGTATGCAGGGATTAATCTGTTCATTAGAGCCCTTCTTTCTCAGCAGCTTAATGAAATGCAATGCCAAATACCTACACTAAAAGTTTTCCCTCAGCAGGCAAGGTGGTGAACACCTGTAATCCCAATGACTCCAGAGGCCGAGGCAGGAGGATCACAAGTGCAAGGACAGTCTCAGCAACTCAACAAGACCCAGTCTCAAAATAAAAAATAAAAAGAACTGGGTATGTAGCTTAATGGTAAAGCACCCCAGGATTCAACCCCCAGTAAAAAAAAAAAAATTACTTCCTGTTGTGTGGTTAATGTATTGTATAATGAAAAATGTATTATGTTACTTAGTAGAGCCTAGATACAAAGTAATTCAAGAGCTACCAAGTTGAAAAAAATATATATAATGAAGAATACATACAAAATGATTTTTAAAATATGCTATTTAAATGTGTTGTTTGAGTAGAAGGTACTAATTACCTTTTACCCAAACACTGTCTTGAAAATGCCATTCTTGTTGGACTATTACAGTTCAATATTTTGACAGCCATGAAAACCCTTAGTAAAACTTGTTTTAGTTAAAACGCACATACTTTAATTCTTTACTTGGTAGTAGTTATTTCCTAATTTTTCAAGTGACCTCAGGTCATATTTTAATTTTATGTTCACACTCTCAGTTTCCTTAAAAACTACGTGGAGGGTAAAACTGACTTAGAGTGTCTTAAAAAATATTTGGAGACTAAAAACTCTTTTCTGTATTTCTAATTGATTCATGAAAAGGTTAATGTTTTGTTTCTTGTTGTAGAGGCTTAGAAGAAAAACAGATTGATCATGGAAATTTCAACATAAGTAACTCAATAATCAGCTGTCATTGAAATAAATAAACTAGGTTAAACTCCGGTGTAACTTTGAGAATTTAGATAAATTCCTCCTTTATATATCCCACTATTTTTCTTCAGGTGAAAACATGCTTACAAATATGATGAATTAATGAATTTGCTAATAACTATTAGTAGAACTCTTATATGATTAGCATAACTTGCATATGCCAGCAACATAAAATTTCCTTGGCGGATATAAGATACACATTAAAATAGATAATGATGAAAACAATATAGTTATAATTAGTACTATCATACATCTTATTTTAATATAATCACTAATAGTTCATAAGTATACTTCCCTTTTTTATTTTTTGTTTTATACACTCAACAGATCAGATCACTTGAGTTTTTATCATCATAATTATTTTACATAAATGGAAACAGATTCACTGAGGTTATATTTGTCCAAATTTGTGTTTGGTTCATGGTCAAACAGGGAGCTAGATTTCAAGTCTTCCAGGCCCAAATCTACCATATAAGAAGGTATAACAAATTGCTTATTTGTTTTATAAAATTTAAAATATTGTAAAACTACATTATTTGGCTCATTTTTATTTGAATAGTTCAGGTACCACAGTTTGCTTTTTGACCATATTGAATTGCCAAACAGACTAAATACATATGTAAAATATCTGCAAAAAAAAAGACACAAAATATTTTGCAAAATGTCTGGGCTTCTTGATATTTCAGGAAAGCATAGAAGCATTTGTCTAGGTGAAAACCCAAACTTTGTTGTACTGTGATATGAACTAAAAAGCTACCTGCTATATGTCCTGAGCATCTCTCTACTTACATGTTCTTAAAAATAAAATAAATGTTGTTACAAAATAAGTGCACTTCAGTTTAAGAACTTTCTGATGTTTTCCTGGGCAAATGCTTCTAAAACTTTTCTGAAATATCAAAACTTGATATTTTTCCAAAAACAATCTAATATTTTGGTTTCCTTTACTTAATTTTGGGAGGGGTACTGGGAATTGAACCCAAAGCACTCCACCTCTGAACTATATAGCTATATCAGCCCTGTTTTTATTTTTATTTTGAGACTGCATCTCAAAATTGCCCTGTCTCAGCCACCCAAGTAGTTGGGATTACATACCACCAGCACCAGTACTCACCAGTTCTTGATTTTCCTTTAGACTGTCCAAGGCATACACTTTCTCTGACTACATGGTAATTCAACCCTGCAACTAGCAAATCATGCCATCTGAGCTATCATTCCATATATGGAAAAAGGTGTCCCTCATAATTAACTAGCTTGCAATAAAAGTAAGACCTATTGCACTAAAGATAGTCTATTTATAGCATTATTCACTGATACAATTAAATTTTGTCTTTCAAATTTTTTCACTTGAAAAGATCCT